GCCCAGAGAAGGAAATATTAAAAGGGCAGAAAAATATATTTTTCCTCAAAAGGATTTTTTTTTAAAACCAAACCTGGCCCCAAATCTATCTCTCTGCCCCAAGCAAGAGCTAGCCCCATACAAGTGCAGATGTAAAACCATCAGAAAGTTGAAGCCAGAGCACTCAAGAAGACAAAGAGAAGATCTGCATGTCCCACCCAAACTCTAGGAGTCATTAGCCCCATCACCTGGGAAGCAGGATATGATAATAGGATTAAACCACAGATATCAAGGCCTAGAAAAACACTCAGAAATAGCCTCAAGATTCATGCCACAGGAACAGGAAACTATTCCAAACAAGGCTAGAGGGGGTGTAAAAACCTACTGCCCATGTGCTCAACCTCTCTTTCCTCTCCTCTGCTCTTTCTTGCAAGGACCACCTTTCTGCTTCTTCAATAAACTGTAACCTTCTTCCCAAAGCAGTCGGCACGTTGCTTATTTATTCCCGGCTTGGATGAACCAGGATGAAGACTTACTTCTGACACCTTGTTGCCATTTTTTGCTCAGCACTATGAGAATGCAATAATGAATATTATACGGCACGGGTCAGCTATTTTAACCTCTTAAAAACATTCTGCAATTTCTTGTTGTGTCCTAGATTCCTTTGTTATGTTATAGCTAAGAAACAGTATAGATTTTATGTGTGTATTCTGGTCTATGACTGGAATTCGTTAGGAGGAGATACACAAGAAGCACTGAAATTAATTTCTAGATTGCAGAGTTTTTAAAAACAACCAACACCCTTTTCTATTGATAGTCCTTTGCACATATAGTAAAGCAACAATATAGCACAGCATTAAACTAATTATCAGAGAAAAAATTGCCAACTTTGGAGACCCCCTGATCTAGACGGCTGGTTGGGGAATTCTGGGAGTTGAAGTCCACAGGTCTTAAATTTGCCAAGGTTGGGAGATCCTGTTCTTAGGCCACGTCCAATTCTCCTTTTCTTTGCCCAAATTGATTTTCTCTGTTTCGAAGCTTGCCTCCTAGGCTGATGGAGTACCTGTTTCGTAGTAGTCCTCCTTTAAGCTGTTAAGAATTCCTGCTTCCGAGGCATGTTGGTTGGAAAGATAAAATTTCATGCCTTAGGCATGAAAGCCACTAGGTGACTTTAGGCCAGTGTTTCCCAAATTTGACAATTTTAAGGCATGTGGACTTTAACTCCCAGAATTCCACAGCCAGCGTTGCTGGCTGTGGAATTCTGGGAGTTGAAGTCCTCATGCCTTAAAATTGTCAAGTTTGGGAAACACTGCTTTAGGCCAATCACCAGGAGATGGGAAATTCTAGTCCCACCTCAGGCGTGAAAGCCAATTGGGTGATCTTGGGCCAATCCATCCCTCTCAGCCCAACCCACTTCACAGGGTTGTTGTGGGGCAAAATAGGAAGAGGAAACTGTGTTGGATATGCTCACTGCCTCGAGCTATTCGTAAAAATAATAAAGACAGGATACCAATTACATAAACGGAGATGCCACTTAAGTGTATACACCTATTAGGTGCAAACTTTTAAAATGCAACTTTGCTTCCTTCCTCAAGCTTTCTGACAGAGCTTGACCTTAAAGCCTCTGTGCATTTCATGAGTTGCATTGATCGCACCTAACTCTAGGACGGAAGGATTGGGACTAAGAAAGAGAATGCTTGTGTTTTTCTTAACAGGGCAGTTAAAGCATCACGAGGGCACCCCACATGCCTGTGTGCACACACATACACACACACAAACCCCGCTATCTGGTTACGCTACTATTGACACTCTGTCCTTGCAAATCCTGTCTTACAGCTGTGCTAGAATTTGCACCTTGGCTCTGAATTCCTGCTGTTTCGGTGGGGCCTTTGCTGAGCTGCTTGGAACACACCAGGTGCTGCTGGAAAAGAGGGTCTCTTTTGAAGCTAAAGAAGGGAAGTCCGTATTGTTTAGTTTTCATAATTTGCACCCGGTGCTTTCTGGACAGAAGACGTCCTTGTAAATATTCAAGATTTTCAGTGAAGAATCAGTCTTTTCAGTTGCAAACCTTGCGCTTGGCCCATCAGCCACTTCTCGTGCAAATGGACATCTCTGGCTGCAGAGTTGTGACAGTAGCAGACAACGCCAAGCTGATACTTTAGAACAGCGGTCCCCAAACTTTCCAGCTTGGTGGCCCAGCCTGGCACGGGGAGGGGGGCATATGAGTGGCAGGTGTACATATGCACCCCCTCCACTTGCGCAAATAGAGTTGGCACATGAGTGACGGGTTCTTGTGCTTATTCGTGAAGCTCCACTCGTGTGAACGGCAGACACTCGTGTGCGAAGCTCCACTCACGCGAGCTGAGGGCGCTTGAGAGAGCTTATGTTTGTGCATGAAGCTCCACTACTTGGGTGAGTAGAGGGAACTGATGTGTGAAGGTCACCTTGCATGTGTAGAGGACGCTCACGGCATGAAGCACCATTCGTGTGGAACTTTGTGTGCGAACGCAAGCCCCCGATGCTTGCATGAGTGGAGCTTCACGCATGTGCACTTGCCCATTTCAAACAGGCCACGCCCCGATAGTGGGCACATCCTGGGGTTGGGGACTCCTGCTTTGGAAGATAGGGACGAAATTTAGAAGGATCTTGATAGACTTGAACACTGGGTCCTAGCTAACAAAATGAAATTAAGTGGTGAGAAAAGGAAGGTTTTACACTTAGGCAAGAAAAAAACAAACAAACAAATTCACACGTACAGAATAGTTAACTGTGAAAGGGATCTAGGAGTCCGAGTGGACCACCACTTAAATATGAGCCGGCAAGGTGCTGCAGTGCCAGAAAAAGCCAATACAATCCTAGGTATCAACTTCATATGAAGTATTAGTATCACTTTATAAGACCTTGGTAAGGCCACACTTGGCATATGGCATCCAGTTTTGGTCACCACGATGTAAAAACTATATTGAGACTCTAGAAAGACTGCAGAGAAGAGCAACAAAGGTGATTGAAGGCCTGGAGACTAAAACACATGAACAACGGTTGCAGGAATTGAGTATGTCTAGTTCATGGGGTCTTCAAACTTGGCCCTCTTATGACTTGTGGACTTCAACTCCCAGAATTCCTCAGTCAGGCACGTTGGCTGAGGAATTCTGGGAGTTGAAGTCCGCAAGTCTAAAAGGGCCAAGTTTGAAGACCCCTGGTCTAGTTCAGTGGTTCTTAACCTGGGCGATATTGCCCCCCAGGGGGCGATTTCATTTTTCAGGGGGGCAAAGGAACAAAAAGGGGGCGATATGGGGGCGATGGAGCGAGATGTTTTGGGGACATTTTTGGGATTTTTTCGTACAGTGAATGGCTGTATATCTGTCGTACAAAAACATCAGATTGCTCGCTGTTAGTGGATCGAATTGTGTTTTCAAATGTTCCTCCAGCTAGCTTCAGTACAGAACGCCGTACATATGTGAAGACGCATTGCTTATCTTCACGCGTGTTGCGCAGCAGCCTCTACCCATACAGTGGCGCGCCGTTGGCCAGAATATGGGAGATATGGGGAAAAGACTGGAAATAAATGATTTGCGTCGATATGTCCTGATGAACAATTTGAAAGAAAACAAAAAACAATGTTTGCATAAATGGAAAAATTATTTCCTATGTTGTGATTGAGAGGTTGTGTTGGGGGAGGAGGGCGATGACAACTTCCTCATTGGCTCAAGGGGGCGATTCGTTCAAAAAGGTTAAGAACCGCTGGCTCTACTTTAATGAAAAGAAGGACTAAGGGACACATGATAAAGGTCTTCCAGTTGAAACCTTCTGCACGGGTGACAAATTCCTTGTCTGTTTAATCCAGGGGTGTCAAACTCAATTTCATTGACGGCTGCATCAGCATTGCAGCTGCCCTCAGGGGGCCGGGCGGGTATGGCCAGGGTGGGTGCAGGCTACCAGGTGGGCATGGATAGAGTGGGTGTGGCCTACTGGGTGGGTGTGGCCAGCTCTACATCGTTTGCATCAAGGGTACCTGTGGGGGCCTGGGCAGGAGTGGGACAGATCTGAGGGTCTCTAGCAGAAGGGGGGGGACTGGGGCAAGCGCCAAGGCATGGTCCACTGAAGGAGCCTCACTGTTCCTCTCAGGCCATATGGGAGGGGGGGGCTCATGGAGCTAAGACTGAATGCGTTTCAGCATAGATGGCCACCACTAAATTGTACATTGGCTCCCGGCTGGCCTGGGCCAGGGCCAAGGCAGAGGGGGGCGTTCCCTCCCTGTTTCCAGGATGGCTTCATGGGCCACATGAAACTACTTTGCGGGCCGCATCCGGCCCCCGGGCCTTGTCTTTGACATGTCTGGTTTAATCACACTTGCCCAAAAAATAAAAAAAAATGAAGTATTCAGTATCTCAGGGGATGCTCCAAAGAAGAGGGAGTCAAGCTATTCTCCAGAGCGCCTGAAGGCAGGACAAGAAGCAACGGATGGAAACTCATCAAGGAGAGAAGCAACCTAGAACTAAGGAGAAACTTCCTGACAGGGAGAACAATTAGCCAGTGGAACAACCTGCCTCCAGAAGTTGTGACTGCTCCAACACTGGAGGTTTTTAAGAAGTGACTGCATTGCTACTTGTCTGAAATGGTCTAGGGTTTCCAGCCTGAGCAGGGGGTTGGACTAGAAGACCTCCAAAGTCCCTTCCAACTCTTATTTCTCACACCGTCCTGTGCAAAGGGCATAAATATGCCATTTAATCTGCCCGCTGATGTCATGACAAACGTGACACCACAGAGGCTGGAACAGGATGCCAAAGAGTCGATCAGCCCGTTACAGAATCATAAGAGTTGGAAGAAACCCCAGAGGTCATCTAGTCCAGCCCACGTTCATTGGTCCCCCCCTTAAGCTTACGGTCCCACACAGTGTGGCATTTTTAAAATGTGTGGACTTCACCTCCCAGAATTCCCCAGCCATCCAGTGTCAAGATGGTGGCTGCAAGCACCTGCTTGAAGCCGCACCCCTTTTTTATATGCAAATGAGTGTCGTTTGCTATAGCCAGAGATATTTATAGGGGTATTTTTGGGCAGGATATTGACAGAAACGCTCAAGGCAAAAAGGCGAGGGGTGCATTTGTTTTCTCTGCAACAGGCTCTGAAGGCAATTGCTTCTTGCAGGTGGGCGAATAGGCCAGCAAGACTTTGGTTCTACGCCCCAGAAAGTGGGCCCAGAGTCAAGCCAGGCGACCTCTTGGGTCTTCATTCTCTCCTTCTTCTCAGCAGAGAGTTGAGGTTGAAGGGGATGTCTTGGGATCCAGGTGCCCTTGGCGAAAACAAGAGCCCCTCAAAGATGCTTGGATCCTGGGCTGGGGGGGGTCTCCTTTCAGAAACTGCTGAGCAGGGCAGGACGTAAATAGAAAGATGGAAAGGAAAGGGAAAGGCAGGGGAAGGGATAAATGGATGAGGGAAGGAAAGGGAGTAAATGGATGAGGGAAGGGGAAGAGAAAAGAGAAGAGAAGGGAAGGGCATTGAAGAGAAGAGAAGAGAGAAGAGAAGAGAAGAGAAGAGAAGAGGAGAAGAGAAGGGATAAATGGATGAGGAAAGGAAAGGGAGTAAATGGATGAGGGAAGGGGAAGAGAAAAGAGAAGAGAAGGGAAGGGCATTAAAGAGAAGAGAAGAGAGAAGAGAAGAGAAGAGAAGAGAAGAGGAGAAGAGAAGGGATAAATGGATGAGGAAAGGAAAGGGAGTAAATGGATGAGGGAAGGGGAAGAGAAAAGAGAAGAGAAGGGAAGGGCATTAAAGAGAAGAGAAGAGAGAAGAGAAGAGAAGAGAAGAGAAGAGAAGAGAAGAGGAGAAGAGAAGGGATAAATGGATGAGGAAAGGAAAGGGAGTAAATGGATGAGGGAAGGGGAAGAGAAAAGAGAAGAGAAGGGAAGGGCATTGAAGAGAAGAGAAGAGAGAAGAGAAGAGAAGAGAAGAGGAGAGGAGAAGAGATAAATGGATGAGGAAAGGAAAGGGAGTAAATGGATGAGGGAAGGGGAAGGGGAAGGGGAAGAGAAAAGAGAAGAGAAGAGAAGAGAAGAGAAGGGAAGGGAAGGGAAGGGATAAATGGATGAGGAAAAGAAATGGAGTAAATGGATGAGGGAAGGGGAAGGGGAAGAGAAAAGAGAAGAGAAGGGAAGGGCATTGAAGAGAAGAGAAGAGAGGAGAAGAGAGAAGAGAAGAGAAGAGAAGAAGAGAAGGGAAGGGATAAATGGATGAGGAAAGGAAAGGGAGTAAATGGATGAGGGAAGGGGAAGGGGAAGAGAGAAAAGAAGAGAAGAGAAGAGAAGAGAAGGGAAGGGAAGGGATAAATGGATGAGGAAAAGAAATGGAGTAAATGGATGAGGGAAGGGGAAGGGGAAGAGAAAAGAGAAGAGAAGGGAAGGGCATTGAAGAGAAGAGAAGAGAGGAGAAGAGAGAAGAGAAGAGAAGAGAAGAAGAGAAGGGAAGGGATAAATGGATGAGGAAAGGAAAGGGAGTAAATGGATGAGGGAAGGGGAAGGGGAAGAGAGAAAAGAAGAGAAGAGAAGAGAAGAGAAGGGAAGGGAAGGGATAAATGGATGAGGAAAAGAAATGGAGTAAATGGATGAGGGAAGGGGAAGGGGTAGAGAAAAGAGAAGAGAAGGGAAGGGCATTGAAGAGAAGAGAAGAGAAGAGAAGAGAAGAGAAGAGGAGAGGAGAGGAGAGGAGAAGGGATAAATTGTTGAGGAAAAGAAAGGGAGTAAATGGATGAGGGAAGGGGAAGAGAAAAGAGAAGAGAAGGGAAGGGAAGGGAAGGGAAGGGAAGAGAAGAGAAGGGAAGAGAAGGGAAGGGATAAATGGATGAGGAAAGGAAAGGGAGTAAATGGATGAGGGAAGGGGAAGGGGAAGGGGAAGAGAGAAGAGAAGAGAAGAGAAGGGAAGGGAAGGGAAGGGAGGGGAAGAGATAAATGGATGAGGAAAAGAAAGGGAGTAAATGGATGAGGGAAGGGAAAGAGAGGGGAAGAGATCAATGGATGAGGAAAGGAAAAGGAGTAAATGGATGAGGGAAGGGGAAGGGGAAGAGAGAAGAGAAGAGAAGAGAGGAGAAGAGAAGAGAAGAGAAGAGAAGGAAGGGGAGGGAAGGGATGAATGGATGAGGAAAGGAAATGGAGTAAATGGATGAGGGAAGGGAAGGGAAGGAAAGGAAAGGAAGGGAGGAAGAAGAAAGGAAATGAGTAAAGAAGGAAAGGAAAAAGGAAAGGAATGCAAAGAGGAAGGGAGGAAGAAGAAATATGAATAAAGAAGGAAAGAAGGAAAAAGGAAGTAAATGGATGAAGAAGGGAAAAGAAGGGGTGAGAGAAGGGTGGGTGGATGGATGGAAAGAGGAAGGAAGGAAAGGAAAAAGGAAGTGATGGATGAGAAAGGAAGGAAGGAGAAAGGAAGGGATAGATGAATGAGAAAGAGGAAGGAAGAGATAGATGGATGAGAAGGAAGGTAGGAAGGGGAAAGGGATAGATGAGAACAAAGGAAGGAAGGGGTTGATGGATGAGAAGGAAGGAAGGAATGAGGAAGGAACGTAGGAAGGAAGGGAAAAAGGATAGATGGACGAGAAAAGGAATGACAAAGGGGGAAGGAAGAAAGGAAGGGATAGATGAGTGAGAAAGGAAGAAGAAAGGGATGAAAAAAGGGGAGGAAGGAAAAATTGAAAAAGCGAAAAGGAGGGAAGGAAGGAAGGAAGGAAATTACAAGTTATATTTTGGTGAGGTCCTGGGAGAAAAAACACACAACATTAACACGGGCTTCTCCCTATGGAAAATATTCCGTGTTTCTCTTCCCTTTCCACCTTCCAGCCACTCTTTCTCTCTAGTGTGCACCCTGCCCTCCTTCCCCTGGACCACCAACTCCATCTTGCTGGTTGTGCCTTTCTGTTACCGAGGTCCACAAAGATGCCCAGAAAAGGACCCACAACCTCTGATTTGTCTTTCCATTGTTCTACTTCCTTTCTTTTGACAGAGGTCTTGCATATCGAGGGAAAACTGCCCCCCAAATTGGGGAGGGGTGGGTGGAACCATTCCATGTCACCCCTCGATATCACGCGGGCGGTTCTAGGTCCTACAACGCCACGATGTCTCCAGGGAGAGACCGAAAAAGGAAAATGCCCGACGCAGCATCAAGATGCAAGCCCCGCCCCTTTGGACAACACCTGCACAAGGAGGCGGAGCTTGAGTGATAAGGACACTTCTACCATCTTGACTGGTTTGACCTTCCTCCCCTTGCGGCAGACCCCCCCCCCAATGGTCCAACCCACTAATCCAGGCCATGTTTCCCTTGAGGATACCTTGTAATTCGGCAGTTTTGTGTGTCGACATACACTCCCGTGTACACAATATCACACTGGACGACATTGTTCAAAAAGTCCGACTCGGCCACCAGGAAATCAGGGTTGACGGTCACCTTGAAAACAGAAGGACAACACTGGAAGTTCTTAAGAAGAGACCGGACAACCATTTGTCTGAAATAGGTTAGGGCAGGGGTAGGCAACCTTGGCTCTTTTATGACTGGTGGACTTCAACTCCCAGAATTCCTGAGCCAGCCATGCTGAGGGGACAGGGAGAGGTTTCCAAGCTGAGCCAAGCTGGCTCAGGAATTCTGGGAGTTGAAGTCCACAGGTCATAAAAGAGCCAAGGTTGCCTATCTCTGGCCTAGGCCGCTTTATGACTCGTGGACTTCAACTCCCAGAATTCCTGAGCCAGCCTGGCTCAGCTTGGAAACCTCTCCCTTTCCCCTCAGCGTGGCTGGCTGAGGAATTCTGGGAGTTGAAGTCCACGAGTCATAAAAGAGCCAAAGTTGCCTACCCCTGGTCAGTCTGTCTGTCTGCCTGTCTGTCTGTCTATCTATCATCATCTAGGCCAGGGGTAGGCAACCTTGGCTCTTTTATGACTCCTGGACTTCAACTCCCAGAATTCCTGAGCCAGCCTGGCTCAGCTTGGAAACCTCTCCCTTTCCCCTCAGCGTGGCTGGCTGAGGAATTCTGGGAGTTGAAGTCCAGGAGTCATAAAAGAGCCAAAGTTGCCTACCCCTGGTCAGTCTGTCTGTCTGCCTGTCTGTCTGTCTGTCTATCTATCCTCATCTAGGCCAGGGGTAGGCAACCTTGGTTCTTTTATGACTCGTGGACTTCAACTCCCAGAATTCCTGAGCCAGCCTGGCTCAGCTTGGAAACCTCTCTCTTTCCCCTCAGCATGGCTGACTCAGGAATTCTGGGAGTTGAAGTCCATGAGTCATAAAAGAGCCAAAGTTGCCTACCCCTGGTCTAGTAGAAACCTCTAGAGCAGGGGTAGGCAACCTTGGCTCTTTTATGACTCATGGATTTCAACTACCAGAATTCCTGAGCCGACATGGCTCAGCTTGGAAACCTCTCCCTTTCCCCTCAGCATGGCTGGCTCAGGAATTCTGCGAGTTGAAGTACACATCATAAAAGGGCCAAGGTTGCCTACCCCTGGTCTAGTAGAAACCTCTAGAGCAGGGGTAGGCAATCTTGGGTCTTTTATGACCTGTGGACTTCAACTTCCAGAATTCCTAAGCCAGCATGGCTCAGCTTGGAAACCTCTCCATTTCTCCTCAGCATGGCTGGCTCAGGAATTCTGGGAGTTGAAGTCCACAAGTCATAAAAGAGCCAAGGTTGCCTATCCCTGGTTATAGGGTTTCCTGCCTCAACAAGGGGTTGGACTAGAACAGGGCTTTTCAATCTTTCACTTGGGTGACCCTGAAGACACAGCTAAACCTCCAAGTGGCCTCAACGACTCTCTAAAAGGATGCAAATGACCAGCTGTTGGCCAGGAGTATCAATCCTTCCATTTCCCCACCGTCCAGTCAGAGCTGAAGAAGCTTCTTGGAGGAGAAGCGAAACATCTTCAAAGAAAAACAAGGAAGCATCTTTGGGATAACTATGGCCTGGATGGCTGAGAAGCTCCATAGATGCTCAGCAACGGAAATTTTGTTTTCGATTATGGTCACTAAGTCGAGGACTATTTGCGTTGCACTTTCTTTTGCCACAGTCGTTCTACTTCTGTTTGCAGGTCTTTTACATTTTGTGATTTGTGTTTGTGATAATTACCTTGAGGATATAGTTTCCGGGAGGAACGTCAGTAATATCAATCCACTGGCAGTCGATATTGGCATGGTAGGTATCGTAGCAGCCTGGGCTCAGACCCTGAGGGAAGATAGAAAATGACAACAACAACAACAACAACAACAACAATAATAAAAAGCTGGAAGGCACCTTGGAGGTCATCTAGCCCAACCCCCTGCTCAGGCAGGAAATCCTATACCATTTCAGACAAGTGGTTGTCCAATATCTTCTTAAATACTTCCAGAGTTGGAGCATTCACAACTTCTGGAGGCAGGTGGTTCCACTGGTTAATTGTTCTGCCATTTATTTCAATGGAGGAAATCTATATGGCTGCCAGTCTTACACACATACTCTAGGCCAGGGGTAGGCCACCTTGGCTCTTTTATGACTCGTGGGCTTCAACTCCCAGAATTCCTGAGCCGGTATGGCTCAGCTTGGAAACCTGTCCATTTCTCCTCAGCATGGCTGGCTCAGGAATCCTGGGAGTTGAAGTCCAGGAGTCATAAAAGAGCCAAGGTTGCCTAACCCTGGCCTAGGCCGCTTTATGAGTCATGGACTTCAATTCCCAGAATTCCTGAGCTGGCATGGCTCAGCTTGGAAACCTCTCCATTTCTCCTCAGCGTGGTTGGCTCAGGAATTCTGGGAGTTGAAGTCCAGGAGTCATAAAAGAGCCAAGGTTGCCTACCCCTGCTCCAGGCAGCTAAAAACCAACAGCCGAAAAGCAGAATTACAATAAATCTAATTTTGTCTGAAGTCTGCTTCAGCCATTCGAAGCTGTGTGGACTTCAACTCCCAGAACCCCCCAGCCAGAAGGGCGGGGCTTCAATTGCGTGGTTGTGGCCGCCATCTTGATTTCTTTTCTCCTCCGCCCGATACAAAAGCGTGTCACTTCGGTCCAAGATTAATTTCCCCTATAGGTTTAGGAGGTTTTTGAAGCAAGGTTCTTATTTTAAATTACAGGTAGTCCTCGACTTACCACAGTTCGTTTAGTGACCGTTCAAAGTTACAACGGCACTGAAAAAAGGGACTTAGGATTGTTTTTCACATTTACGACCATTGCAGCATCCCTGTGTCACATGATCAAAATTCAGACGCTTAAGCAACTGACTCGCATTTATGACGGTTGCGGGGTCCCGGGGTCATGTGACAAGGTCATGTGACCTTCTGACAAGCAAAGTCAATGCAGAAGCCATATTTACTTAACAACCATGTTACTAATTGAGCAACTGCAGTGGTTCCCTTAACGAAAAAGGTCATAAAATGGGCTAAACCTCAGTTAACTGTCTTGCATAGCCATGGAAATTTGGGGCTTGATTTGGTCATAAGTTGAAGGTTTCCTGCCTGAGCAGGGGGTTGGACTAGAAGACCTCCAAGGTCCCTTCCAAGTGTTCTATTCTATTCTATTCTATTCTATTCTATTCTATTCTATTCTATTCTATTCCATTCCATATTCTATTCTGTTCTATTCTATTCCATTCCATTCCATTTTTCTTTTCTTTTCTATTCTATTCTATCCTATCCCATATTTTCTATTCTATTCTATTCTATTCTATTCTATTCTATTCTATTCTATTCCTTTTTTCTATCCTATCCTATCCTATCCTATCCTATCCTATCCTATTCCTACTATTATTTCTCTATAATGATGGCCGTAAATCATTGTTAAATGAAATATTGGGTTCAGTTGTAGTCGTAAGTCGAGGATTAACTGTCCTTAAAAACCCAGTGGGAATTGGGGACATCTGCTAGGCAGGGAGGTCAGAAAAAACAAGATGGCGACTAGACGTCAAGATGAAACCTTCTCCTAAATGTTCTCTCTTAAATGGCGGATAAGCACACCGCTTTGCCGAGGTAGGCAGACCCAGCTGAGAAAAAGTCAGCCGTTGCACACCTGAACGTGAGCAGTGCATGCATAGCGTCGTTGGACACCCACGTCACAAGAGGTGTCCTCCAGGCAGAAACTGGCTTTGTGGCCCTCAGCCACCTTCTCATAAGATACGGCGTCCAGAAGGTCATAGCTGCTGAAGGCTTCCATGCTATGGAAATGCCTGAAAGAGAGGAAGATTTAGAAAATACAGGTTAGGTCCTTGATTTGCAACCGTTCGTTTATTCCCAAAGGTGTTTTTTCAGGAGCCAAGTGGACTTTCTTGTTTTCCTTAGAAGACGTTTCGCTTCTCCTCCAAGAAGCTTCTTCAGTTCTGACTGGATGTGGGGAAGGGAAGGATTTATACTCTTTGCAGACAGCTGGTCATTTGCATCCTTTTTAGAGAGTCGTTGAGGCCACTTGGAGGTTTCTCTGTGTCCTCAGGGTCACCTGAGTGGTGCAAATGGACGTGGAGCCTTCTTGGAGCTGCCAAAAGGACCGTGTTGTCGACTGAAGATGGATGATAGTCTGACTCTGATATAAAATGCCTTCTTTAAATCAAGTCAGATAGATAACTCAAAAGAAACGATCTCATAACAAACGAAAAATATATTTTAATCAGAAAGATTACTTGCATTCACGCTGTGGTTGTTACTCCTGGAAAATACATCCTTTGTCCATTTCTTTAGACCATTTCTTTAGGTAAAAGTATGATGCTCTCTTCCATACCATCTTTATAACGACTCAAGCTCATTGTGTGAGCTTCGATGGCCCATGCTTCTTTCAGACAAAGCGATTCCACCCTGGCTTGTGTCCAGGAAGTCTCCCAATGACCTTTTGGGACTCCTCCCACTGACCCATCAACATACCTAGCATTTAACCCAATAACTGCCAGATATTCTAACATACTGATACCTGCTCTCATAAGTTCCAGAATAGATGATGTCGTGTCCCTCCCCTTCTGTTGAGGGAGGGTTGTTCAGTTTTGACCCATATGGCCTCTTGGACCCCTCTTTCAAACCAGTGGTGCTCTCTGTGCAAAATGTGGATTTTGTTGTCTTCGAAAGAGCGGCCTTCGTCTTTCAAATGCAGATCGACAGCTGACTCTTGTCCTGATGGGTTTGCTCTCCTATGTTGTGCCTTGTGTTTGTGAAGTGGTTGTTTTGTTTCCCAGAGCACATGGCTCACTGCACTGTGCTGCATCTACCACACTGCTCAGTGTGTGTCTGGGTGTTTCATCCTTGAGGTGGACAAACTTCTGCCTTAGTGTATTCTTGGATTTGAAGTGTGCACGTATGTTGTGTTGGCTGAAGATCCTCCTGAGCTGTTCTGATATTCTTGCAACTATAGTAATAATAATAATAATAATAATAATAATAATAATAATAATAGTATTGTTGATAAGAAGGACAAAAAAATCTGGATAGTGGACATGGCAGTGCCTGGAGACAGCAGAATAGATGAGAAAGAACTGGAGAAGATAACAAAATACAAAGACCTACAAATAGAAATAGAAAGACTGTGGCAAAAGCAAGCAAGGGTAGTACCAATAGTAATAGGCTCCTTGGGTGCAATCCCAAAACAACTGGAGCAACACTTGAACACCATTGGCATTGACAAATTCGCTATTAGTCAATTGCAAAAGGCGGCCTTATTAGGAACTGCTTCCATCCTGCGACGATATCTGTAATACCATCAAACATCCACATCTGCCTATCCCAGGTCCTGGGTAAGGACTCGATAGGTAGACAAAATGCCAAATCCAGTCTGAACATCTGGCTGACTGTGCGATGATCAATAATAATAATAATAATAATAATAATAATAATAATAATAATAATAATAATAATGTTGGAAAGGACCTTGGAGGTCATCTAGTCCAACCCCCTGCTCAGGCAAGAAACCCTATACCATTTTGGACAAATGGCTGTCCAGTTTCTTCTTAAAAACTCCAGTGTTGGCGCATTCACAACTTCTGGAGGCAGGTTGTTCCACTGGTTAATTGTTCTCACCGTCAGGAAGTTTCTCCTTAGTTCTAGGTTGCTTCTCTCCTTGATTAGCTTCCATCCATTGCTTCTTGTCCTGCCTTCAGGTGCCTTGGAGAATAGCTTGACTCCCTCTTCTTTGGGGCAGCCCCTGAGATATTGGAAGACTGCTATCATGTCCCCCCTCGTCCTTCTCTTCATTAATAATCTGGATGACTGAGAATCTCCATAGACAAACCATTCGTTTAAGCGACCGTTCGAAGTGACAAAGGCACTGGAAAAAAGCGATTCATTCCAGGTCCTCGCAGTTATGACCGTCGCAGCATCCCCGTGATCATGGGATCAATATTTGGGCCTTGGACAATCGGCATGTACTTACGACGGATGCAGCCTCCCGGGGGGGGGGTGTCCTGTGATCCCCATTTGCGACCTTCCCAATCAGCTTCGGACAAGGAAAGTCAGTGGGGGAAGCTGGATTTGCTTAACGACCGGCTGATTCATTTAATAACAGCGGTAATTCACCTAACAGCCATGGAAAGTAAGGATGCAAAACTGGGCCTGACTCACTGAACAACGGTTTGGCTTAGCAACGGAAGTTGTGATCTCAATTGCGGACATCAGTCAAGGACTCGCTTTATGTCCATTAGGCGCCAACCACCATTTGTGATATTTGTCAGGAGGGCCTGCCCAGAGACTTCATCACAATGAGGAAATGTTCACTGTGGTGTCATGGCAGAAGCCCCACCCTTTAGTTCTGAGAAATAATAATAATAATAATAATAATAATAATAATAATAATAATAATAATAATAATAACCCCCAGTGAGGCACTACCTTGACGTGGTTGTGGGGCTTGTGTACTCTGAGGAAGATGAGAGCTATGCTAGAGGTTCAACCATACTGGACAGGTCTCATCAGAGGAGTCAGACAAAGAGTGTCTCTCCCATAAAAAATATGGTGAGACGTAAATTTCAGAATGCCATACCGGCTCGGACGTCGCCCGGGTTAACAAGGTCCGCACTAGATATTGGAGTTCCTGGATATCTGGTGAAAAATGGGTTACAGGACTCAGGACTGTTGGCTGAGCAACCAGGGCCAGCAGCTGCAGAACTACTGGAAGAAAAGGTGTTTACCCGTCGCAGATACACAGTGATGGAAAACAAAGAAATAATGATCTGTTACTACAGATCAAGTCCAACAAGAAGAGGATATCTAAAACGAATGCACCAGTTCTGGAAAGAACAACATCCAGAATCAGAAATAACAGAACAGAGACTAGCAGATCAACGCCGATTTATAACACGAAATAAATATTCACAGAAACAGAATTGGACGAACTGCAAAGGTTTACCCAGGGCAAAGAAATCAAAGCCTTACCAGAAGTAATTCAGAATGTAGAGGCAAACCAGGGGGAGTTGGCAGTGAAGGAATCTAGCAGAGATATACAACTGTTCTCATTTGGAAACCAGGCACCTCTACCTCAGGAAGAACAAAAACCTCTAACTAAAGAAATAAAAGAATTGAAACAAAGAATAACTGAGCATCTAGAACAGCACAAAAACAACAGAATAAGGCTACCTGCATTGAAGCTTGTTCCAAAGAAACAGCTAGCACAAGCATTAAAAGATGCAAATATTGCAATATCAAGTATAAGCACCAATTCATTGCAAGAAACAAACCAACTAATGTACAGCACAGCTGCAGTTATAACAGAATACCTGGGATGCAAAATCAACAAAGAAGAAAAACAAACAAACAGTGCACCAGAAAAATGGAAGGTTAGACTAGAAAATAAGATCAGCAAGTTAAGATCACATGCAAGCAAGCTAGAACAGATGAAAGAAAAGAAGCTGAAGAACAAGAAGACCAAAGAATACCTAATCAAGAAATACCACTTAGAAACAAGGAAGATCAAGGAAGCACTGGAAATAATAAAGCAACAAATAACAGCTATAGCCAGGAAAATCAGTAGATATGAAGCTCGAATTGCAAACTATAGGCAGAACCTCCAATTTCAATCCAATCAGAAACGTTTCTACCAATCCATCAATGGAGAAACTGCAAGGAATCAGTCAGTACCTGACAAGGAAGAAACAGTGCAGTTCTGGAAGCAGATATGGGATAACCCAAAGAAATACAACAAGGATGCGGCTTGGTTAAAAGAGGTGGATGCAAATAAAACAGAAGTTGAAATGAAAGAACTAGTAATAACAACAAAAATGGTAGAAAAAAGAGCAAAGAAAATCAAAAATTGGTCAGCACCAGGTGAAGATGAACTGCATGGGTTTTGGTTGAAACATCTAACTGTTATACACCCACTCATTGCCAAGCAGTTCAACAATATACTACAAGGAGGAGAAATTGAAAAGTGGCTAACAACTGGGAAAACCTACCTAATAATGAAAAATCCAGCAAAAGGGGCAACACCAGGTAACTACAGGCCAATTACCTGCTTACCAACAACTTTCAAATTACTAACTGGTGTGGTAGCTGATGCAGTACAACAGCATCTAGTTGAAAACAATCTCTTTCCACCTGAGCAGAAAGGAAACCGCCCCAATAGCAGAGGAACAAAAGATCAACTCCTAATAGACAAAATGATCTTGGAAAACTGCAAGAGAAGGAAGACCAACCTGAATGTGGCATGGATTGACTACAAAAAGGCATTTGACTCTCTGCCACATGATTGGATAATAAAGTGCCTAGAAATAACAGGAGTCAGTAGAAACATCAGAAAATTTGTGCAAAGATCGATGGCACAATGGAAGACACAGTTGCAGATCAATGGTGAGAGGCTGGGAGAGGTTAATATCAAGAGAGGAATATTTCAAGGAGATTCATTATCACCATTACTATTTGTTATTGCACTGTTTCCTCTGTCAACAATACTGAATAACTCAGGACATGGCTATCAAACATCAAAAACATCTGCCAGACTATCCCACCTCCTTTATATGGATGATCTGAAGCTGTATGGAAAAACATCATCTGAAATAGAATCGCTGCTCAACACTGTCCGTATATATAGCCAAGATATTGTAATGGAGTTTGGCTTGGACAAATGTGCCACACTTACTATCAAACAAGGAAAAATAATGAAAACTGAAGGAATCAAGATGCCCCACGAAAATAACATTAAGAGTCTGGATGAGGAAGAGTACTACAAATACTTGGGTATCCTTCAAGCTGACAACATCAA